AACATAGTAAAAATGGCAATTTTACCAAAAGCATTCTACAGATTCAATGCACTCCCCATCAAAATACCAACACAATTCTTCACAGACCTGGAAAGGATAATACTCAACTTCATATGGAGAAACAAAAAACCCCAGGATAGCCAAAAGAATCCTGTACAATAAAACAACCTCTAGAGGCATCATGATCCATGACTTGAAGCTCTACTATAGAGCTACAATAATAAAAACAGCTTGGTGGGGCCCGCGGGGCGGGGAGGGGCCTTGACGGGGGGTGGGGGTGGGTGAGAGGGGACTTGGGGCTCATTGAGGTGCTTGCCCTGCGCTTGGTCCCTCACTGGCCGCCAAAGGCCTTCTTCACCTCGTGCGCTCCCGTTCCTGCTGCTGCTGCCACTGCCACTGCCCCCCGCAGAAATGCTTCGACTACCCACAGTCCTTTGCCAGATGAGACCAGTGTCCCGGGCACTGGCTCCTCATCTCACTCGGGCCTATGCCAAAGATGTAAAATTTGGTGCGGATGCTCCAGCCTTAATGCTTCAAGGTGTAGACCTTCTAGCCGATGCTGTAGCTGTTACAATGGGGCCAAAGGGAAGAACAGTGATTATTGAACAGAGTTGGGGAAGTCCCAAAGTAACAAAGGATGGGGTCACTGTCACAAAGTCAATTGACTCGAAGGACAAATACAAAAATATCAGGGCTAAACTTGTTCAAGATGTGGCCAATAACACAAATGAGGAGACCGGGGACAGCACCACCACTGCTTCTGTTCTGGCGCGGTCTATTGCCAAGGAGGGCTTCAAGAAGATCAGCAAAGGGGACAATCCGGTAGAAATCCGGAGAGGTGTCATGTTGGCTGTTGATGCTGTGATTGCTGAACTAAAAAAGCAGTCTAAACCTGTGACAACCCCTGAAGAAAGTGCTCAGGTTGCTACAATTTCTGCAAATGGAGACAAATACATTGGAAACATCATTTCTGATGCAATGAAAAAAGTTGGAAGAAAGGGCATCATCACAGTGAAGGATGGGAAAACACTGAATGATGAATTAGAGATTATTGAAGGCATGAAGTTTGACAGAGGATATATTTCCACATATTTTATTAACACATCAAAAGGTCAAAAATGTGAATTCCAAGATGCCTATGTTCTGTTGAGTGAAAAGAAGATTTCTATTGTCCAGTCCATT